AGGCTTTAACCCACTGAGCCACCCAGGTGCCCCTGTGTGTGTTTTTTAAAAAACACATTTAGGTTAATATTTCATCTGTTCACTGCAGTATTCCTTACAGAAGTAGTAGTCATCAAATAACCAGTCATCAAAAAGTGGGAAAAAAAAGTGAAATAGTGACAGGATTAATATTTTATGCTATATCATACAATTAAATATTATTAAGCTAGTAAAAGTAATTAAAGAGCAGTAGGGCCCAGTGGAAATACCTGGCTTATAGCCAGTGAAACTATCTGGTCTACTACTTACTAGCTTTTTGCCTTTGGTTAAGTCAATTACTCTTGAGTTTGGTTTATTCAGCTGTAAATGGCAATGATAAAACCAACTCCAAAGGTTATTGTGAAGATTAAAAATAATGTGTATGGAACATCTGATGAATAGCGGACATTCAGCAAACACTGTTCATTATTATTCATATGTATGTGACTGGTATATAAAGAGAAAGAGTCTTTCTGAAGGAAAGTATCCCTGTTCCTATCAACAGCTTTTTAAATTATTTATTTATTTTTAAAAGGATTTTATTTACTTATTTGAGAGAGAGTGAAAGTAAGAGAGATCACAGAGGGAGAGGGAAAAGCAGACTCCCTCTGAGGGGAGAGCCTGATGTGGGGTTTGATCCCAGGACCCCGGGATCATGATCTGAGCCGAAGGCAGACACTTTGAACCAACTGAGCCACCCACTTAAGCTCCCCTTAACAGCTTTTTTTTTTTTTTTAATTTATTTGAGAGAGAGAGCATGAGCGGGAGGGACAGAGGGAGAGAGAATCTCAAGCAGACTGTGCTGCTGACCATGAAGACTGATACAGGGCTCCATCTTACCACCCTGAGATCAGGACCTGAGTTGAAAGCAAGAGTTGGGTGCTTAACTGACTGTGCCACCCAGGCAGCCCCTATCAAATGCTTAGAACTGAGTATTTCTTGTTTGACTCAGCAACTCTGTGACTGAAAATGTATCCCGAGGAAATAGCTAAAGATGTGTGCACATGTTTGAAAGGATATTCTGTGCAACATTGACTAGAAGATTGAAAAATAACCCCAAATCTCAGATGATTGGTGAAAAAATTTACAATTTACTTACATAGATAAAATGTATGTCCATTAAAATGAAGATGCAGAAATGTATTCTGATATGGGAAGCAAGGAAAGCAGATTCTAGAACTATATGCAGTCTAATCCCAATTTTGTAAATGTATATTTTTGCAGAGAAAATTTCATAGAAGGATAAAACACAAAAATGTAGCTATAGTTCTCTCTGAGTAGTGGGTCTTTAGATAATTTTTATTTTTTTTTTCATTGGACTTACCTAGATTTTTTACCTTTTATAATAATAAGCAAAGACTGATACAAATTTAAAAATAGGAATGGATTGTTATTAAAAATAGTGACATAGGAAAATGCTTGAGATTTAAAGAAAAAATGATTTGAAACTAATATATGATCCCAGTTTTGTTAAGTAAAACATCATCCAAATGGCTGTTAAAAATTGTGCTAACTACTGTGGAAGAGAAAAGAATAGGGTGTTATGATAAAGCAAAATGAAGGTGGAGGAAAGAGAATCCATTTAGACAGGGAAGACAGCAAAGATGTCCATAAGGAAGTGATATTTTAAGTCAGCCTTGGAGTAGCAGTAGGAGTTAGCCAGATAAACATGGAAGGAAAAACCTTCTAGGAAGAGAGACAAGCATTATAGAGGTTTTTAGGCCAAAAAGTGGCTTTGACCAGTTCAGAAAACTGAGGCAAGAACCAACGTATCTGGCTTTAAAAATATGACATGAACTTGAAAAGTAGACAGGCACCTTGTATAATATGGTAAGGATTTTGGATTTTGTTCTGATGGTCATGGGCAGCCACTGAAGGATTTGCATGAAATAGTTTATATTTTGAAAAGATCTCTTGGACTGCTCTGAGGAGGAAGAACTGGAAAGAGGCAAGAGAGAACCAGGGAGATGAGTAAGGAGGCTTTCACAATTGATTGGGAGATGATGGTGCCCAGTTACGATAGTGAAGATAAAGAACAGAAGAGCAATTGGAGGTATATTCTGGTGATAGCATTGACAGGACTTAGTGACAGGTTGGATTGAGGGTGTGAGGGAGAAGGGAACAGGAGCTGTTAGGGATGATTTTTAGAATACCTTGTTGGGGTGACTTGGTATATTGCATAGATGGTGGAGTAGGTTTTTTGAGGGGTAAGGGATGAGATAAGTGTTCAGCATGGAGCACGTTTACCTTGCAATATCTGTAAGACTACTAAGGAGAGATGTTGAATAGATGAGGTCTGTTACCCAGAAGAGCTACAGGTCTGGGACAGAGATACGCATTTAAGAGTTGTTGGCACAGATCATGCTGTAGGCACTATGGACGGATGGGATTGGCGGTGGAGAGAATCTGGAGTGAGTGGAACAAAGAGTCTAGGGCTGAGCCCTGAGGAAATCCGACATGAAACATCAAGCAATGGGGAAAGTGGCAGAGTTCCCTCAGAGGATGTAATGGAGCAGTGAGGGGGGAAGGCTGGGAGAATGTGGAGTCGCTGCAAAGCCAGTGGGAGTGAGTGTCAAGGAGGAAGGGATTGGCTGTATGGAATGTGCTGAAAGGTCTGCTAAAGTGATGACTAGTAAGTGTCCATTGGATCTGGCAACGTGGAGGCTCTGTATGATGGTGGGAGAAGGGGATACAGTGCAGTGGTGCAGGTGCATGACCGACTGGAGTGAATAGAAGAATTGGAAGTGATGGAGAGATGAGAGAGTGTACACAATTTATAATCTTGGCTCTGAAGAGAGAGGCCAGTGCTGGATGGGAATGTCAAGTCAGGGAGAGGTTTTTGTTTCCTTTTAACAAGGGACATTCTAGAGTTTATTTGAATGCTAATGGAAATGACTTAGTAGGAGGGGAACACTAGTGGTCCTATTGATGATGTTTGATTGGAAAAGGAAAGGAGGAGATGTGGGTAGGCTTTGCTGTCTGCTCTGTGTTGAGTAGGTACTAGGTACTATGCTAAGTGGTTGGCACAGGGACTTAAAGTTCACAGTAGCTCCATGAGGTTGGTATGATTATCCCTATTTTACAGATGAGGAAATGGGTGAGTAGAGGTAGAGTCAAAGTCTTGATCCAGAACTGTTTGATTTCAGAGCTTGGACTCTTAGCTCTGACTTACACTCTTGGAGGATTTCCTCTGTGGTGGTGTATTAGTCAGTTTGCTAGGCTGCCATCACAAGCTAGGTGGCATAAACAACAGGAATTAATTTTCTCGCTGTCCTGGATGCCAGAAGTCCAAGATCAAGGTGTCATCAGGTTTAGTTTCTCCTGAGGCCTGTCTCCTTGGGCTGCAGATGGCCACCTTCCTACTGTCCTCACATGGCCTTTTCTCTGTGCACATGTATCCCTGGTATCTGTCTTATATCCTAATGTCCTCTTCTTAGAAGGGCACCAGGCAGACTGGATTAGAGCCTACTCTAAGGGTCTTAATTTTGACTTAATCACCACTTTAACGCCTTATCTCCAAATACAGTTACATTTTGACATTAAGCCTTCAATATATGATTTTGGGGGTGGAGGGTACCATGCAGTCCATAACAGATGGCGTCTGCTTTCTTAAAAGTATAAGGAAAAGAGTGGGTGTGGGGGAGTTTTGGAAAACACGGAGAGGGATGAAACAGTGATTGAAGAAGGTAGAAGAAGGAGCTTATTGGAGAAATATAGTCTGAGGGTCAGTTGAGTTTGGAGGTCGTTTCCGTATATCTCAACTATCTGAGTTTCTGCAGCAATATTCATGCAGCAATACATGGTTGAGTAAAGAGTAAGACCTTTGTGCTGCAGTGAGGCTGCTGGTGGCTCACATGGGTTTAGCAACCAGCCAAACGACCATTTTTTTTTTTTTTTTTGGTGCACAAAGTTGAAAGGTTAATGTGTTTTAGTCACCTCCCCAGCACAATTACAAATCACTGTATGTCAGGGGTCTTTCTGGATGTTCTCCAATAGTTGAAAACATGTAAGTTAAATAAATCTACCACCGCTAAGATTTTGTTGCATTCGCCAATGTAAAAATTAGTGTGACCATTTTTCTAACTAGTTCTAGAAGTTGTCCTTCATGATGACTCACCACTATCTTTGTTCTTCTTTCTCTCCCCTTCTTTCTTTCTGCCCCGTTTCCATCTTCACTCATCGGTTATTTTTTTGGCCACCTCCTAGACATCCGGCATTAGGAATAAAAAGAGGCAGCAATCTAGTGTGGGAGACAGACATGTATATATTACAGAACCAACACCCCCAAATGATAGGGGATATTATCAAAGTGATAATTCATTTGTTCACTTATCCTGCAAATGTATCAACTGCTTACCAAGTGGCAGGCAGTGTGTTAGGCTTGGGATAGAGAGAGGAGTCAGACCCAGTTTCTACCTTCAAGAAACTTACAACCTGGCATAGAAAACAAACAGGTAAGTAAATAAAGACAACACAATGTGACATTTGTAAAATATTAAGAGGTCTCCAAGTAGGGAGGGATTCTTTTCTTTGCTCTCCCTTGCATGTTTGGATACCTGTTGAAAGGAGCCATGGCTGCATTTTAACAAAAGGAATTTTAAAAAGAATATTCATTCATTCCACACACAGTTTTGAATGCTTGTCTTTATTGTGTAGTGACAGTTTTGTAGCTCTTAAATTATGAGCAAGCGCTGAGTTTGGGATCTTTGGCTTTTCTCTTCACATGAGTTTATTGTCCACAACCTGCCCCATCAACACCTTTTTTTAGGTGGTGGAATGATTAATGGTATTCCTGAAATACTTGACCGAAACCTGCTGATTATTAAAGCTGGGAGAAGTCATAGTAACAAAGCTTTACTGTGATGGTGGGTGAGCAAAAGGCACATGCTGCTGAGTACTGATCTCAGAAACTATGTATTAATGTGGGGGGAGGGGTCCCTGTCACAGGATTTTAAAAAGGTGGTGAACACACTGAGATCAAAAACACCGAGAATGAAATGGGTTTTTGTAAATTATGTAGGAGCTTCAAGTATTGCTTCTTTTTACCTTATGTCAGGAAAAATTTATTTACAACCAAATACTTTTGGGGTTCCTTGAGACAATGGGTATAAACTTGTTGCTTTCTTCAGAGGTGATGTCTATACAAAGTCAAGGTATTATTATCTGCAATGCAGACTTATTTTTGTGGGGAAATGCTAACCATATTATGGAAATAGTACAGATAGTAGGAGGGAGAAAAGGCAGATTTGATCAATGGTATATGCGGGATTTAGAATCAATAATTTACCTAAAAACAGCTGGGAATTGCTTTGATATCATGCAGCGAACACCCACTATCTGCATATTGACTTCCTCTCAGAGTCGTGTTCTAGAGTATGTCACAGCGGAAAGAGCACAGGATGGGGGCCAGGGGTATAAGTTCTGATCTAGTTCTGCCATTGACTACTTAATTGCCTCATTTTCCCCATCTTTAAAATGAAATGGTTTTGGGAAAAGGTTCCTAAGGTCCCTCCAGTTGTGATATGTCATCATTCTGTGATTCTACGTCCCACGCCTATCAAAAGCATTTTGACTTTTCTTAAGTTGCTTACACCAGCATTTCAGTTAGAATGCGTCCAGGAGCTTGTATCCGTGGGCTGTTGGGAACAGCAAGATCTTACTTCTCCAGGACTTGATATGTCTTCTGTTAACTGCTGACAGTGAGCCATACCACCTAAAAGGCTCCCTTGGTAGCCGTAAAGATTGAAAGGACAAATGGACAGTTTGAGAACTCTGTGGAAGAGGAGACCTGAGAGACGGTGATCATCATGGCCCCTTGGGATTTGCAAAGAGGAATGACTAGAACTGGGCCGTTCACTGCAGCCAGGTCAAAGGTCAGGTCAGGAATGTGGACAATGCTGGTGACTCCAGGTAGGTGTAGGAGGGTAAACAAGCCCATTTAGTCCCTCCTGAATCTTGAAGATGTGAGCAGCCTGCTCAGGAAAGCTATTAGGAAGTCTCCTAATTTATGAAAGTCCTTGGAAGAAAAATGTGACATTCATTTTTTATATTTTTATTACCACCCAGTTATTATATTCTTACTTAATACTCACCAAGTTACTCTCCTCATAACATATTCTTGCTGTTCAAACATTCACTTAATACGTTACATGTCTTAACGATCATGGATTGAATTAAAAATCTGGTTTTGACTGATGCCATTGTGCAAGAGACTCCCTATATTTTAGGATTTTTGAAGTGTTGTTGAAAGACCTTTGAGTTTTCTCCTTCAGTTTTAGTTCAGCAATCTTAAATATAATTCTCTAGTGGCAGAGATTATATCTATTATTATTTTGCGAATAATAAGCTAACTGGGGGGTGATTATGAAATGATTTGAAATACTGCTTTTCTTAGTTAAAAAAAAACCAGATAATTTATGAATAGGATATTAAGCCAGATAACTAAAAAAAAAAAATTTGTGTGCTGAATATAATGATGAAAAATTAAAGGTCTTTTAAATGGTTTCTAACATGGAATTCCAGTAAAAATTTAACATATTTTCCTTAAAATATTTATTAAATTCTGTACCTAATCATTAAAAAAAACAAAAAAACCCAAAAAACTGTGTACCTAATACATATTACAAGATGATTTTTCTTTCTTTCTTTCTTTTTTTTTTTTTTTTTTTTTTTTTTTTTTTTTTTTTTTTTTTTTTTGTTTTGTTTTGCTTTTATCTAGTTGCTTCCAAGATTCGGTACTTACAAGAATATCATAACCGGGTTCTTCACAACATTTATCCTGTACCTTCAGGGACAGATATTGCAAACACCCTGAAATACTTTTCTCAGACCTTGTTAAGGTAAGCTTTAAAATATCCTCTACTTTGAAAGAATTATTAGGTAGTACTGCTGAATTGATTGGGACCTAAGCTTTTATTGAACTGAAAGTTTTGAAGGGCCTCTGTTTTCTTGTGCCCTGCCAGAAGAGTCTGGACTCAGGTTCTCTGGGGGTATGTAGCAGATCAGATCACAGACCTAAGTGGAAAAAAACAAATGGGTTGCATGGCTACAGCCTGCTTTCCCCCATTTTACATCTTCTCAAGAGATTTGTTTAGTGGTAAAAGGTTCTATGTCTGGCACTAATGTAGAGTGCGGTGGAAAGGAGAATTTATGTTGCTAAAATTAAGAATAGGAGATGGTCTTCAACAAAAGCAGAATTAAGTAGCGTTTTAGGTTATCTATAGTATATCCTATTACTTGAAGTATGATCTGGGAATAACCATCTGCGTTCAGCATGTTTGACAATTGATGTGGACACTCTGAGGGGGACAGGGAGCGGGAAGCATTGGCCGGTTTGACTGTGACACAGAGACAGAAGGCACTTACCTCCTTTACAGTTCTCATTAGAAATAGGAAAAACAGGCAGATGGAGGGGAACCACTCAGGTGTTTGGGAAATCACAGCCATGCAGGGAGGGGAGCCCTTTCCTTTCCATTAAATTCTAAGGCTCAGTCTCTCCCTTAGTGACCATGATCTTTGTGCTACAGATCTGATTTTTGGAAACATGCAAAATGACTTGCTACTGTTTCTTTTAGCAACACTTTTGTGAGATTGGAATTAGGAACAGAACACCAGTGGGGAATGAGGGGCATGGCCCTGGTGTTGGAGGTCCCAGCGGTCAGGGCTCAGCTGTGGGCAGACTGAACGCTTTGCAGAAGAGGCTTCATGTGATCAAGTCAGCTACTGGTCTTCTCAGCCCTGCTCTTTGTTCTTGTTCTTTGGAATACCTGTCTTCTTTAGAACACTTAGTGCCCCTGTTCTCTCTTAAAGGGATTCTGTGTATCAAATTCATGGATTTCATACTTGCCAAGTCGAGGACCTTAGGGGCGATTTCCCTTCTTTTCACATTGCGGGGGAAGCATTTTTCAATTTTCATAGTGATAATCAGTTTAAGTTTATACACCAAGCATCTGAGTCTGCTCTTTTGAATTCTCCTTTTTGTCGTTGAGGTCAGAGTTCTCAACGGCAAGCACTTTCCTTTATCACAAATTCTGGGAGTTCACAAAGTGAGAGCCGTTTTTCAGTAGGAAGGAAAATTTGAATTCACTTTGCCAAGAAACTGACATTCCCCTTGGCACTTTAAAGCCTACTGCTTAAATCTCCATCATTGTATCAGGAATTTTGGAAATTTGGGATACTGAAGTCATGTTTGCAAGACATGAAATTTCCATTTTCTTGAGTGATGGATCATTAGGATATGATCATGGGTGATAACATTTAAATGGTAAAACTGGGATGGAGGTAATTTGTTCAAGTAGCTATTGAAGAAGAGTCTATGCAATTGAGCGGAGTCCCTTTTCAGCGGGAGACCGTATCAGCAGCAACTCCTACTGGTAATAGTAACAAAATGGCTGCCATTATCATAGCCATTGTGTGTGATAATACCAGTAATTATAGGTGTCGAGCGCTTTACATGTCATCTCATGTAATCCCTTTTAATAATTCTATGAAATGAGTGTAGTCTTATACCCATTTTACAAACAGTGAAACTAAAGCATAGAGTGGTTTCATCAACTGCTCACAGTGACACATCTAGTAAGTGTTGGAACCAGCATTGGACCCTGGTGGTCCTCATCCACAGCACACACTCTCAATAATTACATGACACTGCTTCTCCCAAGTACTACTGGTTAGCATGGTATGGAGACGCTTCTCTTCGTAAAAACTTGGGTTTAGCCTTTGGGAATACCAGCCTCCCTTCTGAGACCAAGGCCTAGTTTTGGCTGTCCCTGAGATTAAGGGAGGAAGGGAAGTGCTTCATGCAAAGACTTGCCAACTTTTTGGAAGTTAAATTGAGCTTTTCTTGAAGTATCACATGGACAGCATTTCAATTCCCAGATGTTTTAGCTCTTTCTCTCACTTAGCAATTTGTTGTGGATAGCAGCAGGTCAGAGTGGAGTTGACAGCCTATAGGACATATTTACATGTAGTAAGAGGAAGAGTGAAAACCCAAGCAGGGTAACATGTCATTGGACTTCAGTACTTATAGGTTCAACTCATAGGCTGAACCCAATGCAGTTTCATTCATCTCTTTGCCTACCTCAGCATTAAAAACAACAACAACAACAACAACAATAAAGGAATAATTCAAAACTCTTTTGTTTCTTTTGCTTACTAGAAATATAGAACTTAAACTATTGTCCTGTATATTGGTCCAAGTTATGATAGACCACTTTCACTGGTGGTTTATATATCCATACCAATCATATCTATATTTCTTTATTTTACTTACACTGTTAGTTCAAGACTAATGAGATGGCCTGGGTATTTGGTATAGTAAGATTTTCTACTTACTAACAAGATGGTTCCCTTTGCATTTTCGTTGATTTTTTACATTCAGAAACACTTCTTGCTTTCAGAATCCAGATTCTTGGAATGAAACATGAAGAAAGAATTAGAGATGAATTCTCACAGAGTAACCCTCTGACTTCCTGTTTGGATATTCTCAAGGAAGTCAGAATTATTATTATTTCTTTTTTTTTTTAAGATTTTATTTATTTATTTGACAGACAGAGATCACAAGTAGGCAGAGAGTCAGGCAGAGAGAGAGGGGGAAGCAGGCTCCCCACCTAGCAGAGAGCCTGATGTGGGGCTCGATCCTAGGACCCTGAGATCATGACCTGAGCCAAAGGCAGCAGCTTAATCCACTGACCCACCCAGGCGCCCCAGAATTATTATTATTTCTATTAAAATCTGCAAAATTAAGTACTGGCTGCTTCATTTGAGTCAGGATTGCATTTTTAGAGTAATAGTCCTGTGGTTTTCATGCATGGCACATAACCCTTACTGATTTCAGTAGAGTTTTGTACATTTTCCCAAAGGCAGAGATTAGCCTAGGTGTTTAACTTCAGTTAATCTAATGCACAGGAGAGGAGAGATTGTGTTACCATAATTGACTGTATCAGCATTGAGTAGTCCACATATGCCCACTTAGCCCTTAATTAGACTCACAATAAAGTTCATGGGGTTCAGTTAGTAGAAGGTGAGTCCTGTGCATTTTTCATCTTACTAGCCCTTGAGCATAGTGCAGAGTTTAGTTCTTAGAAGAAGATCAGTAAATGTTTGTTGAACTGTGTTGACTTTGTCCAAGTTTTGTCCATTGCAGCAGTCTTTCTAGAGCATTTACTTTATCTAATGGTGACCTGGGGTACCAGGTAAAATTCTGTCTGAGTGCTGAGTTGTACTCATTTTCATTTAGCAGGGACCTAAGTATGGGAATAGATACGCACTTTACACAGAACTTCAGAGTTTAGTTTTTTGTTTGCTTTTAGTATTAGAAGGACCTATGAAGATAATCTACTTTAATCCCCCTTAACTAAAGGGGAGTCTGTCCATTGTACACTGGAAGCATTCTGGGGCCATATTTAAAATCTAAGGTCTTCTTTAAGAATCACCTGGGTGGCTCAGTGGGTTAAGCCGCTGCCTTGGGCTCGGGTCATGATCCCGGGGTCGTGGGATCGAGCCCCGCGTCGGGCTCGCTGCACGGCGGGGAGCCTGCTTCCCTTCCTCTCTCTGCCTGCCTCTCTGCCTACTTGTGATCTCTGCCTGTCAAATAAATAAATAAAATCTTTAAAAAAAAAAAAGAATCTTTTCCCCTACCTCGCAGAATATTTAAAGGTTTGTAGTCTTCCTAGGTCATACAGTCTTTTGGAATTCCTTCCCCCAGATCTTCTGCTGGTGCCATTCAAGGTGCTAGCACATGAAGTCTTTTAAAAATCATTAAGTCTGAGGAAAGCTACTTGTCGCTAACTCTTTAGAAAATGTTTGATACATTTTGAAAAGGGATTCTAGTCTCAGTTCAAAAATCTTAATTGAATTGTAATTTTTAATTACTTAGGAAGAAAACATAGACCTTCTAATTATTGATTTGAAGTCTACAGAGTAGCTTTAGAGCATAGCTTGGTCAAATAAATTTTGTTTAGTGTAGAGAGATACAATCCAAATGTCAAAATTTGTAATCTTATAGAAAGTTTATTTTATGTATTAATTTTCTGTGCTATAATACCTCAGGACAACTTCTCATCTTTCTCTGTACCCACAGGGGTCTTCTTCTCTTGGTTCCTCTTGATGTTGGAAGTAAATATTTGATAAAGAGGATCTCAGGAGGGAAAAGGAAAGGTGAAAAGTTGGTTGCTGGGTCAAACTCTTCTGAGCAGGGCATTCTTCAATATTCTTTTTGGTTGGGTGTACAGACCTCTGGGGAATAATTTTACATGGGGTAGATGATTTTTTCATTCCCAAGTTAGACAGTTTGGTTGGGGAAATAAGTTTTTTTTTCTGAATAAACTTCACAAAACATCATAAAATCACAATGCATTGTACATTGATTCATGAGCCCTTCTTTAGTTTTTCCACAAATGAAAACATTTCCTTACATTGAAACATGAATGGTGATTTAAAACTGGTTTCATGGATAACTCATCTTCAGCCATTTTTTCCTCAACTTCACCTACTTACTAAATCTAGAGGCAGTGAGAGAGAAGTTTTACTGTTTCAATGCTGACATTCTCCCTCCCTGCATGTATGAACTTGTTGCTGCTATCATTTGGGAACCCTATGTGTACAGGAAGGGAAAAATACCAAAACAGAGTCTCCAAAGTCGATTTGACTAGTGTCTCTTAAATTATATCAAACTTTGGAACAATACTAAAATATACTTGAAAAAAAATAATGTACTATATTTCCCCCACCAAGGAAAAGTCTGATGACAGAACTGTGCTTAATTTAAAGGACAACATTAATATATGATATATAGCTGATTTTATTCTTTAAGGCAAAATGTTGTTTTTCTATACCACTTCTATAAGATCCGCATCTTGTAATTTTGAAATGATGCTGGTAGTAGGCTAACTTAGGGCTAAAATTTGGGAAATAATATTTCTGATTTAACATCTGTTGTGATTCTAAAGGAGTTTTCAGTGGGATAGAATTCTATTAAAACAGATTTTTGGTGACTGGGCTTAGCAAGAATATAACATTTAAAGGTGGTACTTTTAGGAGTAATCAAGTTATATGAGGAAAGTATCAAGTTTGATGGAAAATCTGATGGTACTGGAATGTTGATATTATCCCATTGTAAAGTATAAGCTTACTTTAAGTTAAATACATCACACACCAAAAAAGGTAAATTTAATCCCGTTAAAAGTAAAAAAAAAAAATTACACTAAATCTTAAGGTATTTCTTGCTAAGAAGTATTACATAACTATTCTGAAATTATCTTTATTATTATTAATTGTTTTTCCCTGGACATTGGGTAACAGAAGACAAAGGAAATCGAGGTAAATTAGGCACATGGAAAATAAAAAGCATGTAGTCATTTTTCTTACATTGTAACATATTTTGTACTAAGAGTAAATAGAAATAAATGTAAACTTGAAATAGCAAGCATGCCTGACACTAACCAATTCTTGACACCACTGTAAAAATGGTAAATGTAGTATCATTAATTAAGAACTTAGTAATGTTTGATGCATATAGAGTTAAGTGTAAAACAAGGTTATTTTTATGTAATGAAACATTTATAAATTGTTATCCATTTTGAATAACATATAAGTGTACTATATAAAAACATTTTGTAAGTGCAGCAGATACTATCATTATAATGTATAGCGATTGTCTTTAATGATAAATAGTATAACCTAACTTAAAAACACTAAACATCTGGCCAAAGCAGTCATGTCTTCTATTTTTAAATTAACAACTCTTCTGCTTTATTGCTTTGACTAAAACATTTTCGTTTAAAAAGGAAGGCTAAAAGAAAGCCAGTTTATTTCCAGAGTTTATTTTTATTCCCATTAAACTTTTTTTAACTCTCTAAATTATCTTTCCTTTAGTGTTTAGTGAGTTTTGTTGAATAATAACGTAAGTAGCAGCAGTAACACATGAGATCTTATTGTATGATGTGCAGCTTTATGACAGATACTGCTTGCCTAGTCTTTAGAATTTTGAAGGTAACTGTTTAATAAGCCACTCTTTGTATTCGTAGAATAAAATGTTTCCCTCCCAACATGCAAAATAAAAAAAAAACACACACATAAATAACCATTATCATTAGTTCACAAACATATGCTGCAGACCATCTACTATATATTATTTTATAGCTTTTCCAATGTAGTTTAGCTAACATTTTAGAAATATGTATTATTTCTAAATTCATATGCCTGTTTAAACTTCATTATCTCAAATGATACTGACAGAATGTCATGAAACAGTATCATAATATACATATAGACATTATTTTGATGCAATAAACATGTGATTTTTAAGACCTTCTTAATAAACACACATGTTTATTCTTTGCTAAAACATGTTTCTGCAAGTGCCATACCTATATTTTGCAGGTTTTTACTTACGTGATTAAGACAGTCTTGCTGAAAACTTCCTTTGCTTTGAAAGCTCGTTTCCATTAGTAATAGAAGCCCTGACTCAATAGGCAAAGCCATTGGTTTTCCTTCGAGGAAACCTCTCCTTCACCAGCTTGACAAACTGTAAAACATGGGTTTGGCACTGAAACATGCATTTTTATATTTTTGCTCCTTACTAACCAGATAACACATGAGATGCAATGCAACTTCCACAAACGAACCCTCGAGCTATTGGTTACCTCTCTGAGCACGAAGCTGTGCGACCCAGACTCGATTTGCACACACGGCTGGTGGAGCCATTGCATCTTATGTGGGATGTATCTGGAGTTTTATTATTTGTTTTAGAGTGTCATTTCAATGTAATGTGCTGTTCTTTGTGTCTTTGTTGTCTCTTTTTTTTCCTTGTCCCCCCAACAGCATTTTGTCCCGCACAGGGAAGAAGGAAAACCAAGATGCCTCCAATTTGACAGTGCCCATGACCATGTGTCTTTTTCCTGTGCCATTCCCACTCACCCCATCTCTAAGACCGCAGGTCAGTTCCATCAACCCTACTGTTACTCGCTCCCTCCTTTACAGCGTCCTGCGAGAGGCCCCCTCTGAACGCGGCCTGCAGAGTCGTGATGCTCACTTGTCAGACTACCCTTCTTTGGACTATCAAGGCCTCTACGTGACTTTGGTGACTCTCCTGGATCTAGTTCCTTTACTACAGCATGGCCAACACGGTGAGCATTTAATCAGAACCTTTGAGAATGTCCGTATATGTTTATGGGAGCTGGAGACTTGTTATTGGAATAAATTGCTTGAAAGGTCTTTGTGTGGCTAAAGCCTTTCTTACACAGAAACTTAATTATGGTGTTTCCCATCCTGCCTTTTTTTTTTCCCCCCTCTTTTATGGCCAGAGGGATGTTACCCGGGTGGGCCTACATTTAGGGGAAATAGGCTGGAAAGAGGAGTCAGGCTCTAATGGAAATTTACCTCTTTTGATCTGCTTATCATGGAGATTCTTGTTGAAATTATGATTTAGAAACTTCACCCCCCCAATGAAATGTAAGGAGAGCAGGTCAAATCCACTGACTAATTCTGTGATTTTTGGGGGGCAAATCACAGAATCTCCCTGGGACTTATTTTTCCTGTTTTTTTTTTTTTTTTTTTTTTTTTTTTAAACCTGGGAGTTTCAATAAGGAGAAATCTCTAAGAACACTTCTAAATTTTGTTAGCCATCAATACTTACAAAATGTTGACCCTTGGTAGAGTGTATAGTGATGCTCTAAGCTGTATATGGTACCTACTATACAGTATGAGTGATGCTCCTATGAAAAGCATGCTTCTTTTCTTAATGCTTTCCCTTTCTACAGTGTGTTTTAGCCAATGTCATTATGTTGCTTGCTTACCAGATTCTTCTAACCCATAAAAAGGAGTACAATAATATCATAATGTTTCTGGCTTAACTATTCAGTATTATATTTTTGAGAATCACATGGAAAACCCATGCAATAAGAGAAGGGATTTTTGCAGAGAATGAACGTTTAAAATATCATTTGTTCCAACTTTAAAGCGCTGATAATTGTGTCTCTGGAAATACGATAACCAAAGATTCACTGCATAGAAAAATTGGAATTTGGGAAGTGGGTGGATTGTGGTGGTGATTTTGCCTTTGAATTATGGCTAACTCTCCTAAGAGAATGCTTAATGGTTTATTTAGTAAGATGTGTTCCTCATGAAAAAATTTTTAAAAAATATACTTTTGTAAAAATGATGACATAATGCTACTCAATTTGTTTCTTCTTATATTTATAGTTCTATCTTATAGTGAATTTTTAAAAATGTACAAATTTGTAAATTTGCTTGTTGTATCATTTTGTAGCTGTTTAAGCCTCGTCACTTTCACTGGGATCCCATCCCCTCTCAGAACTTAAAGGAGACGACTCTTTGAACATAAGACTGGCAGAGCCTACCATGGTGGTTGTGGGCCTGTCAGTACCTTACCTTTGGGACAGCCAGTCCTGAGGTCACTCTAGACCTGCCTGGTCCTGGGTTGGGCCACTGTGTGAGAGTCCCTGGATTAAGATAAAAGCATTCAGTTTGGTAACTCACACAACCCATTTAACTGCAATTAATATGTTAAGTTATGACAATTTCAGGAGGCATGATTTATATATTTGCTTTTATATACAGAACTGTGTTGCGATTTTACTCTTCACTATTATCTATATACTGTGTTCTTGTTCTGCATAACAGAGCTTAAAGGAGAGGAAAAAACTCACTAGACTATCCCTTAGAGGTTAAAAAGCAGATCAGAAGGGTTTCTCCACCATGTCAGAATCCCCGAGGGAGCTTGAACATGGAATTAATTCTGGGTCCCGAACCAGGATTTAGGACTGAGAATTGCTGAGGGGTGTGTCCTGAGGATGGAGATTTTTGATGAGCTCTCTGGGTGACTCCTTCGTATTCTGAGTTTGAGAACCACTGCCCCAGGGATGGAGGCTGTGTCCTCATGGGGGGCAGTGCTGCGCACTGTCGAGGGCTGCATTCTTGTCACAGTTCAGGTACCAACTGTCAGGTGATCTTGGGCAATCACGTTCTTTCTCTGGGCCTTAGTTTCCTTGTTTGAAAAATATTGTAGCTCCCAGGCCCCTTTCCGCACCAGTGTTCTGTAACGAGACTACAGTGTAGTTGGGTGTCTTTGATGCATAGCCTCAGTTAGTTCTTAATAAAACACCTGTGAATCTTACGTCTCATCAACTTGAGCCCAAGCTTGAGTGACCCTTGCTCACCAGGGTGTCCTGTGGCCTCGTCCTCTGTGTTGTCAGTCAATGTGACTGTTGAGATGGCATATTAATTCTAATCAGAAATAACATCAGACATTGGAATTGCATGAAGAAGGTAAAGAAGCTGCAAAACCAACAAATCTAATAGTTTTCTTTTAAAATGGATAGCAAGTTGATCAAAGTCTTCATTGTCAAGTCTTGACTGGTAACCCATCTATTGGGAGATCCAGAACTATCAAAAGATATATTTAGTATAATAAGATTTGGTATAGATGCCTTTTAAAGCTAACTAGTTATGGGGTTTTTTTTCTTTCTTTCTTTCTTTTTTTTTTTTTTTGGTGAATGTCCTTTATTTTTACTCCTTGTGCAGGTAATAATAATAACATTATTTGTATTAATAAAAATGACTAATACTTGTGGAGCACACATTATGTGCTGTGTTAAGCGTATGTTAATCTCATTTAAGCCTTGTTAACAGTCCTTCTAGAAGAGAGGTAGGTACTCTTCCTATCCCCATTTAAGTGTTGGTGGAAAGATTATCATTAGGTGGCACATCCTTCCCTGATAATTCATAATGAGATGTACAGGGGAACAGAGAGTCATTTACAGCTTCCTTTAGGCTGCTCTGCTGGAAGGCACATGTTCCCTCATTGCCCAAGACTCCGGATGTAGGAAGAGTGTGCTTTGGTTGATGGAGCAGAGATAGCCTGGTTTTGTTTCCAGTCCTTCCCTTGACTTCTCTAAAACTTCTAGTGGGAAAATAATTTAATGGCTTTGTGCCATAGTTATCATGTATAAAATGTAATGGAGATAAGAATGCTAGAGGATATTTCTGGGTTCATGATCACATGGAAAGCACTTTTAGTTTCTGAAACCCAGGAATAATATGAATACCAAGTATTACTGAAGACTGATAAAGGGTTGAGGAGAAGCTCATGATCTAGGTATTTATCTGTCTTAATGCAGTCGTACATAGAGCTAATCCTGTGTATGCATGTCACTGGGCATCATGTCTCAGAGCTCTTAATAGGAAGGGAGAGATAGTTGGTTATAATTTAAGCCAATTCATAAGAATTTAAAATGTAGAATTAGCATATTTTGTTAAGTGGCGAAATATTCCGTGACTGATTACTCACTTTTGTTTTGTAGATCTTGGACAGTCGATATTTTATACAACTACATGTTTGCTACCCTTTCTCAATGATGATATTCTGAGTACTTTGCCCTACACGATGATATCAACGTTAGCTACCTTTCCTCCATTTCTGCACAAGGATATTATTGAATATCTTAGCACATCTTTTCTACCAATGGCTATATGTAAGTTCCATCTTACCTAATACTAGATTCTTTTAGTGTATTGTACAAACAGAAATTGCTTTTGCTGTTTTAGGCTGTAGATTTTCAAGATTATAATGGAATCACTTGCTGTATACAGGTGCTGTGGTTTAAATTGTCATTTCAGCATGATTATTATGGTGAGAAAGAAATGAATGATGATGATACCTTGAAATTGTTTTATTTGCATAATTTGGTCTTAAGGAATAGGAAGAACACATATCAAGGTGAAGTCTATATTACCTACATAGAAATTATGGTATTTTTGTCACTTAAGGACAAAAGGTGGAGGGAGTGTTGTCTCAGGTATAGAAATTCTTATCTTTTGCATCTGAAGGCAGAAGGGTATGATGAGAAGAGGAACAGACAGAGTCAGGATATACAGATCCTAGTTTCAGCTCCGTTGGTAAATGTACTGTGTGGTGTCAGGCCGCTCACGTGGCTGACGCCTCACTGGGGGGAATGACGTCAGCAGGAGCTTCCCCTCGCAGGGATATTGTGATGATGAAGTGAGTCCAAACTTATGAAAACACTTTGAAAGAAGCTAAGGCTTGCGACCCATTCTGTTTATAAATGCGGAGCTGACTTGAATTCTATTTCACTTTTATAGATTTATTTCTGTAGTCTTTCTGACATGAGCAAAGAGAAAAAACAGATTGGGTTGTGGTCTTTGTGATCACCATCCTTTTAAAGTATTTTTTAAAGAAATCGGTTATGAATCCAGAGGTTACTTCAGGAGGTAACCTGAAAAGATGGTGGATTTATGAGTCAAACACATCTAGATTCGTATCAACAGCTGTGCTACCAAACTAGCAGTGTGGCCCTAGGCAAGTTACCTAACCTTTCTGTTTCTTCCCTGTAAAATGAGCATAATAATACTAGTTGCCTGGGTTGTTGGGATACCTGGGTCAGGTTTCTGATTCACCTGGGACACAGTGCTAAGTGCTAAGTGTTAGTTTATGTCTCTCCTTCCCTCAACTCTTGTTCCATTTCAACACTTTTATTAGTCATATTCCATTCCTAGTGATCATTTTTCACCATTTTAATTTTAGGTCCCTTTGATCTTATTTAACTTACTGCTTGTTGCTGTGGAATAATAATTGGTAAACATAGGTACCTTTACGCTCCATTATTTGGTTTACAGTTAAGCTTAATTTTAGCTCTGGAGTTGTAATTTTCATGTCTTTTCAGCAAAGAGTCTGACGGCTATCTAAATTATATAGCTATTCAAAAAAATAAGCAGACTGATTATATGGTTCAAGTAATAGAATATTTGATCATTCTCTCCCTCTCTCTTTTTGTTTTTGTTCTATGTGACCTGACAAGGACTTCATTTACAGTTACGGATCTCAGAATTGTTTAGTTGTTTTCACTGTTAAATTTAGGCATAGGAATCCTTGTTTTGTTTTTATTTATTTTTTTAAAGAATTACAGGTGAGGTGTACCTTTGTTATCATTAATCTAATTCTTCTTAGGAATAAGTTAATAGTTTAGGGAAAGTCATTGACTCTATCAGGTCCCTGAAGTTATGCTTCACGCAGATCAAACATTGTGACAACTGGCTAGTTATTTCTTTATCCTTAGTCCTCATTAATTTCTACTTAATTAAAGCACAGACCCCAAAACATGCCTTATACTCCCATTAGAATCCTTTTAAATGTGTGAGCCTTGGCACCCGAAGGGAATAAAATAGTAAGTTGAGTTTATAACATTTGCGTGAATTTTAATACTTAATTAGTAGAGTGACTTGGTGCTCATTTAAATTATGAACAAGCTGTTTATGTCTCTGGGACTCCATTGTTTTGCCAGCTGTAAAGGAGGGGTTTGGAAAACATGTTCCATCTCTAAGGTTATTTTTGGCTTACTAATTCTAGGTTAAATAACATCAATTTTATTTTATGTAAGAGGCACATATATTCCTCTAACCCAGTTGTTGATCTAGTTCATTTACCTTGTCGCTTGGGTTTTGGTTTCTTACTCCTGACTTCCGCTTCTCATCACCAGGCCAATAGACTGAGGAATAGCCAGTTTTCGACACCTTTAAATCTTTGAAAGTAAATGGTAGTAATATTAAAGGCACATTCTATTATACAATTCAGGTATTTCTTTTGTATTTGTTTTTTTGCAAAGACACAGACTCAAAGAGAAAGGGGAGTGGGTTCCTGATTAATTACGTGAAAATGAACAGACATTGAGAATGTGTGTCTGTTGCTGGCATCCACGTTGTTTCTGTCTTTGGAAGTTGTTTCAGTGTCTAGAAATCCCAACCAGAACAAGACAGAGAGAGGGGCATTTAACTTCTTCCAGAATGTTTTTATTTTAAGACTGAGAGGTTAGGATGAAGGAGGTTGCATTTTCTGAGTACTTGACAAAAGTCATCAAGACAAGAAGGCTTTTCTCTGCTCGGTGTGTTGTTTGCCAGGTCAAATGTCAATGTGGACAGTTTTTCAGGTGTTAAATATTTGAATCATTAAGAACCTAGAATATGAAGCTCTGAGCTGGGTCTAACGGAGCATCACGGCTCTGTCATTGTAAGGGCGATGCATGTTTCTCCCTTACGCCCTTCCCGTCATTTTTGTCAATAAACCAAGTACCATGCCTTTGTTTTAAATAACTCCTTTTGAGGTGCTGCAGAGGAAACTGCAATTTATTATAAAAATTTCCTTTGACATAACCTTTGCTTTTTAACTCCTTCCATAAACAGATATTCTTCTCTGTATTCCAAGTGTGTGCAATAGGCTTTATTTAAAATACATACATATATATGGATTACTAAGAATTGAAAAAGTCATTAGCATTTCACCATGGAAACCTCTCTTTTTCCAATAAGAAATTTGTGATTTGTGGACCAAATTGAAATATGGATGTTGGGCAGATGATATGGATGTTGGCAGAGAAGAGAAAAGCTGATCCCAAATGGACAGTAACTGATGTAGGCTATGTTATTTCAAAGATGGTAATAAGCCTGAGCAATAATATCAGTAAAAGACCCTTCTAGTGTATCTTGGTAGCCTAGACTGTGCAGTGTTATGCAACTCAAATTTCCTCAAAGTCACCTGCCCTTAGGAAAAACAGAGGTTCATTCAGATCTTTGCATTGACTTAAAAGCAATCATGTGGTTGAATTGAGTATCTGGTTCTAAGATCATTTTTGTTCTATAGTTACTACTCCTACAGAGGATGTGTGTGATGTTCCTGTGATCCTCCAAAAACTAATAAATACGTAGGAAAAAGAGATAGAACCCAACACAACATATTGATGACATTTTAATAGCCTTCTATATATAAAACTATTATTAGCTAATGATCATTTTTATAAAGTAGACCTTACTGTACTATAAGAGCTTTATTATTCTATCAATGGAAGTGTTTTGGAATAGAAACAGAAAAGCTAAATTGTTTAATTCTTCGATTCCTGGCAGATCTCTTAACCTCATCAAACTTTAGTTTCCTTAGCTGTAGAATTGTGAGTGATCATGATCTTCCCCGCCTACACCCCGTGTTTGTTGTGAAGACCATGAAATAACATACAGGAATGGCCTTTAGCTATTGTATCACGTTGGACAAATGTAGAACAGACCAAACCCATAGACATATGACCGATGGGTCAAATACCATTGCAGCTAATGCCAGTATCCTGCTCAAATTCACATGTCCTAAAGTTTTATTGTCCTAAATATTGCTTGAGAAAAGGGGCCAGCCTCTGAGGCTTGGGATTTTTTTCCCCCTAGAATTTGTTGTATAATAAACAATAATAGCTATACTAGGCTTTGGTCTCATAGGATCTGACAGAGCATTTCTGTCAGACCCCATCATGGGTCTCGAACTTATAACCCTGAGATCAAGAGTTGCGTGCTCTGCTGACTGAGCCAGCCAAGTGCCTCTGCCTCGGAGTTGTTGATGGGCAATCTTATCTCTGTGATTTTCATTTATCTAGCCGTCTGCACATCTTTTAATGCTGCGCTGACTTTGGGGTCATGGTGTCTCAGTCTTCCTGTTATGTTGAATTGATATGCCCTTCTGAAGGCATAGGTATCTTGTGCTCAAACCCTAACTCATGGAACACAAATCCCTCTGCTTACAGAAACAAGACACTTGCTAATGTGAGCAGTGCAATCTGGCAAAGCACAGGAAGTGGTTCTACGGTATAGCACCAGACTGTGTTTCTTCTTCCCAGACGATTCTCTTACCTTTACCCCTTACAAAAATATAAGGTTAATGGGGTTTATTTAAATATATTCCAACTCAGGCTACTCCTTACTACCATCTCTCACCCGGACCCATCCAGTAGTTTCTGATATCCCTGATCTCCCTGCTTCTATTCTTAGCCACCCTACAATTGTTCTCCACCCAACAGCCAGAGCTATGCTCCAAACATGTAAATCAGATTACGTCATTTCCTTTGTCACATTCCATCACTCTGACCAATCACATTCAATGTCCTTCCCTTGCCCACAAGGCCCTGTGTGCTCTGGCCACTGCTGCCACCTTACTACGTCATTACTGCCTCTTGTGTGTTCACCCCGTGCTGTCCTCATTAGCCATTCTGCAGTTCCATAAAGACACGAGGCTTTTCCTCTGTCTCAGTAGTCCTTCTCCCAAATGGTCATACAATTCCTCCTCACTCTCCTTAGGTCTCAGCTCAAATGTCACACCTTTCGAGATGCCTTTGCTTACCCTCAAGCTAACACAAGACCTTCCATCACTTTCTACCTATTCCTGTGCCCTGCTTTATTTCTTCATGGGTATTTGTTTCCTTTTTCCTCTAGAACAGCATTGTCCATGGAACTTTCTGCAATGATGGAAATGTTTTATAAAATTCCGTGGGAATACACTAGCCACATGCGACAACTGATCACTTGAAATGAATCTAATGAGACTGACTTTGTAATTTCATTGACGTTGAATTCATTTAAATTTAAATAGCCACGTGTGCCGGATAGCTACCATATTGGATGGTACTGCTTGAGCATCTAAGCTCCATAAGGACAAAGGCTTGCCTGTCTTGTTTATGGCTGCATCTCTAGGGTTAGAAAAATGCCTGGTATGTAGGGGTATGAAAAAAAAAACTTTTTGAATTTTTAAATGAATTTTGAATGAATAAGTCACTAGAGTGTTGCTTGTGAAGTCAAGTGACTTGGGCTAATAATTAAGTTGGTGCTCTCATGCAAGTAATCTGATTCTCTTTATAAAATGGTTTCCCCAATATATTTATTTATTTAAGTCATATTTATTTATTTATTTATTTGAGAGGGAGAAAGTACAAATAGTGGTGGGGAGGGGGTAGGGAGAGGGAGAGAGAGAAAATCTTCAGCAGCTCCACACCCAGCACAGAGCCGGACACGGGCTGGATCTCACAACTCTGAGATCATGACCTGAGTGAAATCAAGAGTTGTACATGTCATCGACTGAGTCACCCAGGCATCCCTACTTATTTATTTCTTTTTGGTGAGAATCATATAAGAGCTATCCCTGATAGTACATTAGGAACTATAAAATGCAGGAACAGATTAAGGAATTGTTATTGCTCATAGAGGAAAGGGATGCTGATAACCGTTATTCTGGTGGTGCCGGGAGGATCAGGAAATAGGCCTTAGAACTTGTAATTGTATTTCCTGAGCACAAAATTAGATGTAAAATTTTCTTATTTTTTATTTTTATTTATTTCTATTTTATTTTATTTTATTATTTATTTATTTTTATAAATATATTTATTTTATATATAAATATATAATATATAAATATATTTATTTTATTTATTTTTAAATTTTAATTTAATTTTAATTTTATTTATTTTATTTTATTTTTATTTTATTTTACTTATTTTATTTTTTATTTTTCTTATTAATTCTCTTCTTCCTTCTGCTGTATGGAGCTTTGGTTTTATATACCCTCATGGGGACAAGCCGGACAAGCCGTACATCTGTTTACATCATGCATGCCTTTTTACCAAGATTCAATAAATGATGTGTGCCTGTGCACGTTTATTAATTAGAATTGCAGTGATTTTATCCAGTCTGTTATAAGGCTAAGAACTGCAAGGCAGTGTCTGTCGAGGTGCTGGAGCCAGTTTCCTAGGGTTTGAGCCAGGGGAATGCTTTTGGCTTTGCGGTTGACCACAGTTGAGGGAGAGCATGGATTTTTAGGGGTAAAAGGGACAGCCAAAGGTCATCGAGCCATTTGGGCTCTACTCCAAATAGACCTCACCTAAATCATCAAGACATTTTGGGCATCTCTCCTATTCTTAAAGGCCTCCAGGCACAGGGATTCACAAGCTCCCTTTGTAGTAGTCTTTATTTATTTATTTTTTTAAGAAATGTTTATTATTAAAAAGTTTCAGATGAATTTCAACAGTGGTGAAAACCCTTATCCCAAAAGGACCATATATATATGTATGTGTGTAATTATTTAAATATATGTAATTATTTTTCCACGAGTATGTCAGAGACAAGAATTACCTTCCCCATCCTCCAGTTCCCATTAAACGAAGGGCCCAGGGCCACCCAGTTCTCCCTCACACACCTGCACACCTTTCATATTTCCCCTCTAGTAATGCTCCTGCCACCAGGCTCAGGGCCTGCCTGCGTCACAACCACTTGATGTGGGGTACCTGGATGGCTCAGTCAGTTAAGCGGCTGACTTTGGCTCAGGTCATGATCCCAGGGTCCTGGGATGGAGCCCCACACGGGGCCCTTGGCTCAGCAGGGAGCCTGCTTTTCCCTCTGCCACTCCCCCCTGCTTCTGCTCTCTTTCTCTGTCAAATACATTAAACAACAACAACAACAACAACAACAACAACAACAAACTACTTGATGTGCTTATTAAAGCTTTTCTGCTTCCAAGCTGATGGAGTCAGATTCTAGATATGGGCCCCAAAGCTGAATTTGAACAAGCTCCTTGGCTGAAGTCTGAGAGCGGCTGCATCTTGCTCTTTAGGATTTGGCTCAAAGTTCTTTCCTTGATTAATTACACTTGATTGACCAGCTTTACCCTCCAAGAGCATTGACCTGATCTGCATATCTTTGTATAATTATTAATATTCATTTATATCGCACAGCCAAACTAGTTTCTCTCCCAGACTCTGGCCTGCTTGGTGATGTAGCAGGAGCCCAGCTGCAAGTGATTAATAAAAGCAAATTCAGGTAAATGGAACCTGAATGAAACTAAGGATACATCTGTTTTGTTTGCTTGCTTATTTCTGTAAAGCTGTTGTAAAGGTCGCCATCCAGTGTTATGTTCAAAGTCTTCCATCCAACGAAAAGAATAGAATCATGTTAAATTTTCTCTGTGTTCTCCATTCCATGACAAATCTTATATTTGTGTTTTAATGGCTGTTTCATACATGTGTTTTTTTATAAGTTGCCTTATTCTTTATGGATGGAGGTGAGATTTCCACGTACTGCACTTTAATGTAAAATAAAATAAAGCAGATTTGTGGGTCATCTGCTTTTTTGTTGCCCACATTAGTGCTTTTCTCTGTTGTGTGTAGGAAATTGAGAGCTGGCTGATGGAGGTTGTCATACTGGAAGACGTTCTGTTCATGCTTTCTTGACAATTGGTCACTCAAGCCTAACTATAAGGAAAGGTTTCCCCTGCTTCTGCAATTGTCCCTGAGAAAAGGAATTCCTTTTATATTTGAGTCCTTTTTTTTTTTTTAAGATTTTGTTTACTTATTTGACAGAGAGAAAGAGAGAGATGGTGAGAGAGGAAACACAAACAGGGGAGTGGGAGAGGGAGGAGCAGACTTCCTACTGAGCAGGGACCCCGATGTGGGGCTTGATCCCAGGACCCTAGGACCATGACCTGAGCAGAAGTCAGACCCTCAACTGACTGAGCCACCCAGGCACCCCTATTTGAGTCCTTTCGAAGTTTCTCCTATGGGAGCCCTCTCTCAATTACTGGTTAGAATAATAGAGTACTCTTTGGAGAAAACAACTCTTTGGAGTATTATCTTGAATGACCCCCATTGGTGCTAGTTTTGAATGCTACTTGGAGTTACCTGTTATGCCACTAGAAAAGAGAGAAAAAGAAATATAATATAGTGTTGGATGTCATTGTAAACAAGCCACTTAAAGATGTCTTAAAAGCAGGATGTAAGTGGTTATCATGTGGAGACCACGGATACACAGCTGTGAGATGAGTTTTGAAGAAACCAGCTTGCTGTGTGACTGAATACTTGTGGCACAGGATAAAATGTTCAGTGACAGTGGTCCTCACAGATTCAAAAAGTGCTTTCTTCCAAACAGCTTGGTTGGATATGGAGATGGTAAGCTCTGGAAAGCTAAAAAAGTTATTCTCATGGTGATGGAGATACTGCTGATGACTTACATGTGAAGATTTGAATAAAATTGTTTCATGATCTGTGAGAGTTGAAAATAATTTTTAAGTTAATCTGTAATTTTTCTGAAAGAAAAATAAAGATGTTAAAAAAGTTAATATGTAATTTTTTATAATATGCTATTTGAAATTGGTGTGTATGACTGAATTAATAAGGTCCCCATTATAAGCTGACTGTTATTTCATCTGCATCTCCAAAAGTTAACCCATTCAAGTTGTTTCAAAATAAATAAACCTTTTATTTTTACTTTTATTGGGATAACCTTTGACATGCCTTTATATTTGGGCACGTGGAAGATTTTGTTTTTTCTTTCTCTCCGACCTAGATATAAACATCCTGGGAGCAGAGATCACATCTAAGTACATCTCTGATAAATCCATTGCATCACACTGTGGCACTGTTTCTGCTCCTTGTAGATTCTCACGAAATGTTTGCCATTGATGATGACAATCATGGCATTTGTATGCTAGGACAGATGTTTTGTGGTTTTATTTGTGCAAAGCATCCATTGAATGGGTTGAGATTTTTTAGAAAAAAAGTGTCTTCTCAGCTCTCACGCTATATGTAAAATAAGAAGTATACATAGAGATTATTTGTACCTAATGAAATAATGTTCTGTTTCAGTGGGTTCCTCAAGGAGAGAAGGCGTTCCTGCCCACGTTAATCTGTCTGCATCATCTATGCTTATGATTGCAATGCAATACACATCCAACCCAGGTCAGTGGAAATTCGAGTGGCTTGACTGAATTAAAAAACAATTGTTAAACTAGATATGAAACGAGTAGTCTAGAAAGTCTCAGGTGAGATCACCTCTGGGTGGATAGAAAACTGGAGATGTGTTACAAGACAGACTTCTGAGTTGAAATAACTTCCCCTTGTCTTTGTTATTAGCAGTAATCTTGCTGATGATTGATTATTTTTAGAGTGTTTGGGGACACAATTTTAGGAAATTGACTGGAAATTGAATACAGTTGTATAGGAATAAATTAAGTTAGGACTGTAAAAATCACTGCGATTTAAGTGACTGAAGATAACAACTGTTAATATTTTGTGAATTTGCTACTCTAATGCCACACAGGTATCCTTGAACATAATTTTTTTTTACTATGTTTCTGATTATTTCCTTAGAATAAATTCATAAAAGAGGGATTAATGAATTAAGGGACTTGAAAAAAATTTAGTAGTGTCACTAACTGTGTGTGAGAGTACATTGTAACCTGTCATTGGATAATGTACAATTTGTATTCTGTTAGACAGACAAAAAATAATATCTTGTTGTTTTGACTTGTATTTTCTTCAATACTTAGTAATGTTGGATAGGTTTTGTTTCTGTTCGTTGGTATAACTACATATGAAATTTGGGAAACTGACCTAAAAAGGGGCTGACTATTGGCATCACATACTAAGATGTAAACTCAGTTTTAATTTTCATTTATTGTTGATTTGGAAAGTGAACCAATTTGGTGGCACTTTCTTCAACCTTCTACTTAATTTCATTGTAAATAATAAGTTTTTGATGCAGGATGAGGAAAAAATGTTTTATTTTTAAAAAGAAGACTATTTGACAGAGAGCGAGAGTAAGGGGGTAGGAGGGGCAGAGGGAGAGGGAGAGAGAATCTCAAGCAGACTCTGCTGCGCGCAGAGCCCCTGGCAGGGCTCGATCCCACAACCCCGAGATCATGACCGGAGCCAAAATCAAGAGTCTGAGCCTCTCAGGTGCCCAGAAAAAAATGTTTCATGTTTAAATCTTAATGCTTCTTCGTTTGGAGTGTTACCCTTTAAATATGAAACACCTGGAGTAATTGAGTCATTGTATGAGTAATTCAAATGTGTAATTTTTTGGAAGTTCTATCTCCTATCTCACTCTTGCTTAGAGGACCCTCAAAATGTCATTTATATTTATTATATATTATATTCTGAAAACACCCTTCATTTGCAGTCTAGTACGTTGAAGTCTCCTCCTGAGGCTTTGGTCCTAGTTTCTCAGTTGGGAAGCAGTAAAGCAGTGGTCCTAAAATCGTGTGCTTTGAGGTTAGAGGTCTATGGGTTCATCTCTGAGCTCCCCAGTAAATTGCCAGTTAGTGTTAACGTTACACAAGTTTTTTTTTAATTTCCCTAAGGTCAAGTTTCCTCATTTCTAAAATGGGAATAACTATTCCTACAGTGCTTTAAAATATCATAAGCCTTTGTATGTGAAGTGCTTGCCTCACACAGGGACAGGCGCATTGTAAATGCTCAGTCAAGGGCAGAGTGCGAATCACGACAATCTGCCATTTTCTTCTTGGAGTTGGATGTTCCTCTGGGAAACCACTATGATCTGTCTGCATTACTTCTGTTATTTCCAAATCTGTATCTTCATCTGTTCATGGGGAATGTCTGTGCCTGCTATTCCATGCTAAAAATGATAGTCAGGACCTATAGCTGGTCTTGTGTTGTGGGGAAAGGGTTAAGACTGTGGTGATACCCACCAGAGGGCTTCATTTTGCTTAATTTGTTTAAGGGCTTCAATTTGTTTAATTTTTCTGGGGGAAGCAGCAAGTGGCAGCTAGGTCCTTATAGCCCATGGCATATCAAGGGTAGAGCATAGGCCTTGTTCAACTAACTGAGTAAGTTCTTTGTTCACGGTTCTGAGCTAGACATTGTGAAAACCATCCAGAAGTGTAAGATATGGGGCTTTCTATGGAGCATATGACTCATTGGAAATATTAGGCATATTCACAGAAATCATTAATTTATAATATAAGGTGTATTTGAAAAGTACAAAATAAATACTGTGGGTAGTATTAATTCATCAGAGGGAGAGAACTCTATGGATTGAAATGATCAGGGAAATCTTCGTGCCACTTGAGCAAGTATGGGTCTTAAAATATGGATAAAGTTTTGATTGAAGAAATTTACACAAATGGACTTTCTAGGTCTGTTCATAAGGCAGTCAGGGGACGGCTCTGAACTGGGTTCATGGGACAGACATATAGAGAAAGGAACATCTGTACGTGAGAACACACTGATGGCTGAAGAACAAAATTCCAATTCTAGAGGACTATTTATATATTCAATAAATAGTCACTGAATAGCTAGTCTGTGCCAGACACTGGAGACATCATGGTTAGCAAAACAGAACTGACCTCTGCCCCTGCCTCATGATATTTACATGATAGTGGTGGGAGAAGACATGAATTCAGTAATTACAAAAGCAAATGTGAAGGGGTGCCTGGAGGGCTCAGTCCGTAGTTAAGTGATTGGCTCTTGATTTCAGCTCAGGTCATGATCTTAGGGTCGTGAGATCAAGCCCTGCATACAGCTCCTCGCTGGGCATGGTGCATGTTTAAGATTCTCTCTTTCCCTCTGCCCCTTCCCCCCATGTCTTTCTCCCTCTCTCTAAAAAAAAAAAAAAAAAAAGAGAAAAAAGAAAAAGAAAAAGAAAGAAAACCAAATGTAAAGTTTCAGCTGTGACAAAGTTCTTGGAAAGATGTACTTAGCTCAATGAGCCCCTAAAAAAAGGAGATTTCCTTTTATGGAAGAGGTCAGAGAGGGCTTCTCTGGGGAAGTAGCCTTTTCTCTGAGGACTCAAGGATGAGTACCATCCTAGGTGGGGCGTAGTGGGGTGGGGGATTCAGGTAGAAGAGTCTCATATGTCAGCGGGAAGCCTGGCAAGCAGGTGGGACAAAGAGATTGGCATCACTGGAACTCAGAGTGAGGGCTGTCTCATGGGAGGTGAGACTGGGGGTGTCTGTGGGCCAGAACACACAGGATGTGTGGGTTCTGTTTGGGAGTCCTGTGTTTATCCGCGTCCAATGGGAAAGCAGTGGAGGACTTGGGGTAGTTGTGTGTGTGTGACCCTGACTGTAGTTGAGAACGGATTATGAAGAGTAGATATAGATTGATCCAGAAGGAGCCATGCCATTTATCTGGGCATGTAAAGAAGGCAGGGGCAATTGAGACTGTGAAAAAGTATCTAGAAAGTATAATTGATGGGATTTGGTGATATATCAGAATTTTTGGCTTGCAAAACTAAATACATGGTGGTTCTGTTCATTGAGAAAGGAGACACTGGACAAAGAAAACCAGGCTTCTGAGGGATCCTTTCGAATCTGTTTTGGACATTGTGTTTGAGGTATCTCTGAGATGTTTAGGAGGAGATGGCATACCTTAGACTAATACAGTGTTCTATGTCAATTTTATCTCAAACTGGGGAAAAAAACCTCACACATCATCTCAATTTTATATGTCCAAAACACAAAAATGCAAATAAATCAGCTTCCTTAAAAAAAAAAAAAAGAGGTAAAAATAATTAGGAAGTTGTATTATGAGCCCAGACCTCTGTATAGAGCTCTGGGCTTGCGGTAATGAACTTTGAACCTACACATAAGTGTCCAACGGCCTTTATTAAATTGTATATAGATGGTACCAGAAGTTGTGGGATGAATGTGGGATTGCTTAGGAGAGAGCACAGAATGAAAAGTGGAGTGGGCTTATGATCAGGCTTTCAGGAACTGCAATGGATAATGGTCCAGTGGGAGATGATGAGCTTGTCAAGCAGGCAGAGAGGTTGTATCTGTTAGGATGTGTTTGGGTGACTAACAGAAGTTTTGAACTACAAGAACGTTTGTTGTTTATTTTGTTTACTTAGTAGGAAGTCTTACAGACAGCGCCACAGTATCAGGGGCCTGAGATGGTGCCATTGTGCTTTTCTTGGACTTCCCCTCAGGTTTGCAAGATGGCTGCCACAGTGGGGGTTGTTTTATTCTCACACAATCATCACCACAAACAGGTAACAGGATCAGTCAGGGTAATTAGAGAAAGGCCTCCTGTTGTGCCTCTTTTTTCACAGAGAAAAAGTATTTCAGAAGTTCCCCCACTTCCCAGCAGATTTTCTCTTAGGTCTTATTGGCCAGAACTGAGTCACATGGCCGTCCCTAGCTCTAAGAGGCTCTGGGAAAGTATCTTGCTATGTAGTCTGTGCATTGGGGGAAGAACAAGGAAGAAAGGGTTGTTGATAGTAGTTGAGTAGCAACAACAGTGTCTGCCACAGGTAATAGGAGAGGACTAGTCATGAAGTTGAGGGAAGAGAGTGTTTTGAAAAGAAGACAAGGTTCAGCAGCACTGAATGTTGCTGAAGGTCAAGTAAGAGGCAGACTGAAGTACGTCCATTGAATTGAATGACATAGAGGTCATCAGTGACCAAGGTGAAGCCAACTTCGGGCTATGACAGGGTTGGATGACAGATTCGGGAGGATATGAAACAGGTCTCTGACTAGGTGGAGGTATTTTTCTTTTCCCAAGTAAACATGGGCAAACCAAAGAAGCTTGCTGTTTCATAGCTCCTAAGAATTCCTCAATGAGGTGGACTTGGTGCCTGAGTGATGAAAGATTCCCATGCTAATCCATCAGTTTGTCATTTGCTGTCTATTTCCAAACTTGGGCAAGATAGGAATCTAAGCTAAGTAAGTTTCCTCATTGCAACATGGTGGTTATGAGATAATATTATATAAGGCTCTTAGCACAATACCTGACACATAATGAACACCCAGTAAGTGTTCCTCTAAGGCAATTTTTGTTCTTGTGTAGTTCTTGAGTACATTGATGTAAATTTGTATTATATAATTACTATTACTAGGGATTGTCCTTAACATTTCTTTTGTTAATAAGATGAAGGATCTTAGGAAAAAGCTTGATAAAGTCAAGGGCTCACATGATTTTTGAAATGTATGAAAACTTAAAGGAAATGAGTAATTTTTAATTTTATTAAAATTTTTTGTTATTTAAAAATTTTTATTGTTGAAATATAGCTGACGTACAATTATATTAGTTTCAGGTATATGACATAGTGATTTGACAATTCTGTATATTACTCAGTGCTCACTGTGATAAGTATGGTCACCATACAATATCATTACCATATTATTGACTATATACCCTATCTTGTACTTTTCATCTCCATGACTTATTTATTTTATAACTGGAAGTTTCTGCCTCTAAATCTACTTCACCTGTTTTGCCGATCCTTTACCCTCCTCCCCTCTGGCACCCACCAGTTTGTCCTCTGTATTTATGAGTCTGTTTCTGTTTGTTGGCTTTGATTTTTAGATTCCACATGTAAGTGAAATCATATGGCATTTGTCTTTCCCTGTCTGATTTATTTCACTTAGTGTAATAGCCTCTGGGTCTATCCATGTTATCATAAATGGCAAGACTGCATTCTTTTTTATGACTGATGTTCCACTATATGTTATATACCACATTTTCTTTATTCTTTCAGCTATTGATGGACACTTAGATTGCTTCCATACTTTGGCTGTTGTAAATACCATTGCAATAAACACAGGGCTGCACATGTCTTTTTGAATTAATGTTTTTGTTTTCTTTGGTAAATACCCAATAATGGAATTTCTAGATTATATGGTATTTTTCTATTTTTAATTTTTGGGGGAAACTCCATATTGTTTTCTATAGGGATGGTATCAATTTGCATTCCTACCAACAGTACAGAAGTATTACTTTTTCTCTACATTCTTTTTTTTTTTAAGATTTTATTTATTTATTTGTTAGAGAAAGAGAGAGAGAGGGAGAGAGTGAGCACAAGCAGGGGGAGCAGCAGGCAGAGGGAGAAGTAGGCTCCCTGCTAAGCAAGGAGCCTGATGTGGGACTTGATCCCAGAATCCTGGGATCAGGACCTGAGCTAAAGGCAGACACTTAACTGACTGAGCCACCCAGATTCCTCTTTCTCTACATTCTTAACAACACTTGTCATTTCCTGTCTTTTTGACATTAGCCATTCTGACAGGTGTGAGGTTATATCTCATTGTGGTTTTGATTTGCATTTCCCCGATGATGAGTGATGTTAAGCATCTTTTCCTGTGTCTGTTGGCCATTTGGATGTCTGTTCAATCCTCTGTCCATATTTTTATCAGATTATTTTTATTTTTTGGCATTGAATTATGTAAATTCTTTATATGTTCTGAATATTAGCTCCTTATCAGAGATATTACTTGCAAATATCTTCTCCTATTTGGTAGGTTGCCTTTTTGTTCTATTGATGGTTTCCTTTGCTGTGCAAAAAGCTTTTTATTTTGGTGTGGCCTCAATAGTTTTTTATTTTTTGCTTTTGTTTTCTCCCCCTAAGGAGACCTTTCTATAAATATGTGGCACAGGCCCATGTCCAAGATAATACTACTTATGTTTTCTTTTAGAAGTTTTATGGTTTTGGGTCTCACATGTAGGTCTTTAATCCATTTGGGTTTACTCTTATGTATGGGTAAGATAGCAATCCAGTTTCATTCTTTTGGAAGTAAATAACTTCTAATTTAATGATTAGATGACAAGTCATACTAATATATTTTATTATATCTAAAAGGATATTTTATCTGATGTTTACAATTTGTGTTCAAATTATATTTTCTTCCTTACAGTGTATCATTGTCAATTATTGGAATGCCTCATGAAATATAAGCAAGAAGTCTGGAAAGTAAGTTTTGGGCCAAATTTAACTCATAGCCACAAACTCAATTTGTATAATGGAGTACAAATATTTTGCCTATTAAGACAGGTCAGATTTATTGGTGTCTTATTATTTCGGTGTGGCAGAACCTGGAATTCTTTCCTTCCTGGTTAGTTTATTATTTAAGGCAGAAATGATACTTGAAGAACACAGTGGCCTGACAGAAAAAGTAATTGGCTAGCTCTTATTATCAGAATTCAGCAAATGTTATATTACTTGGCAGTTTTATTTCATTTGACATGTTGCTAAAAAACCTGTATTCTTTCAAATAGGAAATGTGGATTGTTAAGAAATGGATTTTAGGAAAATATTTGAAAAACACAGTGTTTGACAAACTGGTTCATGCTATTCTAAGGTCTTCCTTTAACATTATCCTGAGTAGAGAAGAATTTATTAAAAGACAGTGTAGTTTTGATCTTTAGCTAGAGGGGAGGGGAGGTGATTATTTACAGGACCCATAAATAAATAATAAAAAATAATGTTTTAATATGATCTCATCTGAGAAGCATACCTCGATGATGAGATCACAGTGGGGGGGGTAGGGGGAGGAGGGAGGGAGGGAGGGATTGGAGGGAGGGGGTGAGGGGGTGGGGAAGGAACCCCCCAACTCTTCTATTGGATTTTGCACTGCTTTGGTAATATTGAATGAGCTAGTCTCATCTTTATTTGATGATGCTAAGTCAAAGTACGCTTCCTGTTTCCTTTAGGATCTTTTGTATGTGATCGCCTATGGACCTTCACAGGTGAAACCTCCTGCTGTGCAAATGCTGTTCCATTACTGGCCCAATTTAAAGCCTCCTGGGGCAATAAGTGAATACAGGGGCTTGCAGTATACAGGTAAGGAGGCAAGAACACTGTCATGCCCCATTTTTATTTATTTATTAACCTTATGCCACATTTGCCTCACTGACTTATTATTATTTTTTTAAAAATCTGGCTGGATTATATTTATGTGCCTTTAGATATTGTCACTAACCCTTTCTGAAACTGAGTGGTATAAAATACATGAAAGAAAATTGATTCCAAGAGCTTCTGTGACACCCTGGCAAATTGGTTAAGTCTTGGTCTCACTTGCCATACACTTGGCCTGGGGTCCTCACTATCGCTAACCATGATCAGAGGTGTGAGTGATGACGGTTGCTGCAGATGTGCCCACCATTGGGCAAAACCCCAACTGGCTAATTCTGCTCAGACAAGAAGACTTGTGTTTTCGACATTACCAGTTCATATGCTAAATAAAAACTAAGTGACTCTGCGAGTCACATTGGACAGGAAGAGTCAACAATCATATGAATATTTGTATAACTAATAACCAAGAAATAGACACTGAATTTGAATGGAAAGGCTTATACTTACCAAAAAACAAACAAGCATCAGGTCCTATGTGTTGTTTATGTTGACATGTTGTAAAATCAAAGAAGGAACCTATGGCCAACGAAGTTTCTGATGCCCCTGCCTAACCTCCTCCCAACCTAGCTGTCTACATATTTTTATGAAAATAAGTGAGGGGGTGTTTTGCAAAGTTAGCTTTTATTCGAGTTATTGTGAGATTGTATACTGATGCTCTGAGACTTTACTTCTTTCTTGGTATGTCTTTCTAAAGGTGATTTGAGATGGTTCAAAGGGGATTTAATTTAATTCGGGTGTCTGATTTAAGTTCCTAATTAAAACCAAATGTTAGAGATATTAACACCTGCTTTTTGAGCTTTAATGATCTTTGGTGGACTTATTCTAAATTCAGAACAAATAATACTGGCTTTAGTGGTAGCAATAATATTAATTAAAACAATGAAGGTAAATAGTAAGTACCTTTTAAAAACGTGGAGATTAGTATCATTGGCATTTTAAATCAAGGATAGTAGAGAATGCTTAAGTGTTGCTAAGTGGATAATTTGTAAAAACAGGAAAAAACCTGGAAGCATTAATAAAATGATTGAAATATTCAGCTTCTTCTCTGTAGATACCTGAAGTAAGCCTTTACATGATGTATGAATGGGGAAATAAATGAAATTTATTTACTTGATAAATATTTGAAGAGTTACTATTATGTGCCAGGCACTATTTCCTGATGATGTAAGAACCGATTCAGAACCAGACCCCATGGAGCTTAATGTAGTTTGGAGATGGAAATTCAACAAGTATTTGTAGGGTGTCTACTATTAGCCATGTGTTATTCTAAACACTGAGTAGTCAAGGAATGAAAAAAGCAGACTAAAATCACTAATGTCTTGGCACATACATTCCAGTTTCTGGAAAGAGCAGGAAACCACTTTACAGTGTAATAAGTATTAAGGTAGCGCAAATACAGAGAGCTATGGAACTATGCAGCAGGGGCCTCTGAAACTCACCCTGATGGTGGGCAGGTTTGGGGAGGGTTAAGTTGTCAAGGAAGATTTTCGAGTGAGTGACAGGTAAGCCAATACCTGAAAGATAGTGCACACCCTGGATATCAAAGGGAGAGTGAATCATGAGTGGATAAAATGTAGATTTGAGGCAGAATGAATAGCATGGGTTCAGACTTGGAGGCATGATATATCATGATCGTATTTAGGAACTGGAAAAGGTTATGTGTATCAGACAATGGAGTGACAGGAGGAGAGCAGCTAGAGATAAGTAGAAAGCCTGGCAGGGCCTGCGAAGGGATTGGGATTTTATCCTAACAGCAAAGGGAAACCACGGACAGGTTTTACAGGGAGAAGCCGACATGATGAGATTTCTCTGTTCGAATATCCCAAAAGCCTTACAAACTGACAGTGGCTTCCATTTCCTTCTGTGACTGTATCCCCCAGGAAGAGCCAGCTGAACCTGTCTCCCCAGAATAGTTCAGTCTGCGCCTACTAAGATCAGAGCGATTCTTTCATCTTCTCTTGGCCTACCTGGACAAGATGTCTTTGTCTCCCGGCATCCATCCTTCTGTCCATTCCTGTGATCATACGTCTACCCACTTCCCCCTTCTAGTCTTTCAACTGTGTGGCATTATGTGCCTGCTACCTGCCAGGCACTGTGCAAGGTCCTGGGGAAGCAACTCCCTTGGAACTCCCATTCCGGTGGACCATAGCGTTCTGTACAGGAAACAAAAGAGATCCTGGGGAAAAAAAAAAATCAGTCGTTCTGGTCCATATATTACTATTTATCTAGCGCTGGCTGTTTGTCAGACATTGTTCTAGTTGCTTCCATCTCACTTAACATTTTAGCCTTCTCCCAACTGAATGCAATTATGGACCAAGCATCCTATTGGGTTTTGTAGATATTTTCTCAATCCTTAAAAAACCTTGAGAGGTAGGTTTTGTTATTTCAGTGTTACAGGTGATGAGTGGGACACAGAGTCTGGCGACATTCACACAGATAATAAGGGAGCACAGCTTGAGTTTGAACTTAGAGTATCTTCACTGAAAGCCCGCATTTTTTTATTCTGACAGTATGACATCACTTCTCTCACTTCAGTTCTTCAGTTAAACTTTAGCTGGAGCGTTAGAAATTATCTACAATGTCTGCCACGATGAAAGATGCACTGAAGGGTATCATCAGTATTTAGAGTTAAAGAATACTATGAACCCACTTATAGCCATGTAGATTTAGTCATTATTAGGAAATTAACCATTAGTTTAACTGTACACGTATGTGTATATAAATTATCTATTGCTTTTTAAGCATAGTAACATAGGAGTAATTACAGCTCATAGGAAGAAGGTCGAACACTGAAGATTTGGTAATCTACAGTGTTTGCCCCTTTTGGGCTTATTGCTATTTGTTAAGAACAAAAACTGCTTCACTTGTTTTGGTCATTAATTACAAGTCTTAAAGATGCAAAAATTACAGGGAAGTTTCTTGGCAATGGAAATAGCCATTCTGTCATTCTATGAAGCTGTTTCTGTTGGGGAGAAAGAAACTATTTAGCCTTTTTTGGTGACTGTGTCTCAACTCGTAAATAATTTAGATCAGCACCAGTTGTGTAGTTTCTATCTGAACTAGGGAACAAAAGATGTGGCACAAGATAGGCGTTTCCAAGACAGAGTTCGTTGCAAACATGGCAAAGAATAACTAAAGATAAGCACTATAAGGGTAGACTTTGGTCTAGGCTACCAGATATCTAACTTTATATTAGTACCATTGGATTCTTGAGTTGTATACAAGTACAGGAAAGACAACCTTTTATGTTGTAACTTCTCTATTATTGAGTTCTTGTTTATCTTGTTATTTTATCTCCACAAGTCTTAAGAAATGTTTTAAACCTTTTATATTTGTTACATTATACACAAGTGGAAAAACATACAAATTGCGAGTGTACGGGGAACATCCCCCACCATGTTTGCCACCATGATTACCCACTCCTTCTATCCCAAAGATAGCCACTAAATTGACTTCCAGCATCAAAGATTAGTGTTGCCTATTGTGAGTTGTATATAAATGGAATCATACATTATTTATTTGTTGTGTATATGTGCATGTGTGTGTGTGTGCTTGTGTGTGATTTGTCTGTGGGTTGAGCATAATTGTGTTTCATTTGTTTTTATTGCTGTATATACTACAAAATGAATGTACTGCAGTGTATGTATTGGTTTGCTATTAATGGATATTTGGGCTGTTCCTGCTTTTTGACTATTAAAAGTAGCTGCTATGAATGTCCTTCTATATATCTTTTGGTGCATGCATGCACACATTTCTGTTAGATATACACCTCGGGTAGGATTGCTGGATCAGAGGCTATGCATTTATCTACTTTTTTTCGTCTTCCCCTCCCCTGCGTATATCTAATTTTATTTGCAAACAGTTTTCCAAAAAGGGTTGTACTAATTTATACTCCCGTTACCAGTATGTGAGAGTTTGTTTTGTCTATATTCCACATTTAGGGCAATACTTTATTTTGTTTTCAAAATTTTCACCACTTTCAAGGGACGTAGAAGTATCTTACTGTGGTTACAATTTGCATTTCCCTGATTAATAATGAAGTTGGACAATTTTTCATACATTTATTGGCTATTTGGGTATCCTCTTTATATAGTCTTTGTCAGTAAAGTATGTTGCAAAGTATCTTTTCTTATCTTTTTTTACTCTGTAAATGATGACTTTTGATTAGCTGAAGTTCTTATTTTAATATAATCAGATTAGGAATCTTTTTCCTTATATCCTAAGAAAATCTTTCTCCATACTAGTTATGATGTTATTCATTGTTATCTTCTAGAATATTTGTTTTTTACCTTTTACATTTAGATGTATCTGAAATTAATTTTTCTGTCTATTGTGAGGTAAGAGTCAATTTTTTTTTCTCTATGGATAAGCAATAGACAACATTATTTATTGAAAAGATTGCCTTTTTCTTACTGCTCTGTAGTACTATTTTTGTTATAAATCAAGTGTCTATTTAAGGATGGTTCTCTTTCTGGAGTCATTATTTAGTTTAATTGGCATATTTTTCCTTTTCCCAAAACCACACTGTCTAAATTAATGTAGTTTAATAATAAAACTTTTATATCCTTCAGTACAAGTCTTTCTACCTTGTAGTTGCTGTTCTCTTCATTGTCTCCCCCTACATTCTCTTCTTTCTAGTCTTTCTCCTTCTCCTCCTTATTTTCTTCCTTTTCCAAGATTATTCCTAGCTATTTGCTAAGTTAAAGAGTCTGTTAAGTTAAACACACACACAAACACACCCCTAAACTATTAAGATTTTGGCTGAGATTGCCTTCAATCTATAGATCAGTTTGGGGAACTGACATCATTTTAATGTTGAGTCTTCCAATCCATGTTCTAGAAGTATATCTCGTGTTTTAGGCTTTTTCTAGTTTGCTTCAGTGCTGCATCATAGTTTTCTGTGTAGGTGGCTTGCTTATATCTCATGT